TTCTTTTTTTTTTATCCCACTCTCTGACACCAATTGTTACATCTCCGTTTGTTAATTGATTTTCCGTAACTTCGTTCCGACGAAACTTTAGCGACACAAGTCCTTACTTAATAAAACTGGTTTATTCTTTCTGAATATAATTTTACCGATACACTTATTTTCAACAGTCGCTCTTTTACAAACGTTTTAACAACGAATGTTAACTTCAACAATACTTCCTGACTGCAGTTCAATTACTCACTACCTACATACATTGTTGTCCCGTTATGTTGTCACCCTCTTATATATATACCAGACTACCCTATATCTAGTAATCTCCCGACTATTCCCGATGGTTCGAGAGAAGTGGCGTGACACTAGTCACGTGACCTCGCTGATGCAACAGTACCTACCTGTTTCTAAATCAACCCACTTATGTTGTCTATTGTACCTACCTGTCTGTACATCACTCCAATAATGTGATCTATTGTACCTACCTGTCTCTACATCACCCCACTTATGTAGCCCGTTGTACCTACTGTCTCTACATCACCCCACTTATGTAGCTTATTGTACCTACCTGTCTCAACATCATCCCACAAATGTAGTCTATTGTACCAACCTGTCTCAACATCATCCCACAAATGTAGTCTATTGTACCAACCTGTCTCTACATTACCCCACAAATATAGTTTATTGTACCTACCTGTCTCTACATCACCCCACTTATGTAGCCTATTGTACCTACTGTCTCTACATTACCCCATTAATGTAGCCTATTGTACGTACTGTCTCTACATCACCCCACTTATGTAGCCTATTGTACCTACCTGTCTCTACATTACCCCATTAATGTAGCCTATTGTACCTACTTGTCTCAACATCATCCCACAAATGTAGTCTACTGTACCTACCTGTCTCTACATCACCCCACTAATGTAGTCTATTGTACCTACCTGTCTCTACATCACCCCACTAATGTAGTCTATTGTACCTACCTGTCTCTATATCACCCCACAACTGCAGTCTATTGTACCTACCTGTCTATATCACCCCACAACTGTAGTCTATTGTGCCTACCTGTCTCTACATAGACTACTTGTCCCTATCACCTCATTGATGTGTTATATTGTACCTATGTGTCCCTATTACCCTATGAATGTTATATTGTTCCTATGTGTTTCTATTACTCCATGAATCTGTACTATTGTACCAATGTGTCTCTGTTATCCCACTAATGTGTTCTATTGTACCTATGTTTCACTATTGCCACACTAAGGTATTTTATTGTTCTTATGTGTCCTTATTACCCCACTTGTGTTTTATTGTACCTATGTGCCCCTGTTACCCCACTAAAGTGTTCTATTGTACCCATGTTTCCATATTTTCCCATTAAGGTATTCTATTGTACTTATGTGTCCCTATTGCCCCACTAAGGTGTTTTATTGTACCTACCTGACAAAGTGCCAGTCTTTTAGATATAAACAGGGCTTACTGGTGAAATCCCAATCATTTTCCTTCACTGTCTCCAGGTAGTTTATGTAGCTTTTAAGATACATTTCTTGTTTATGTTGTGAATTGTACACCTTTTGGCTACAGTCTGCAACAGGAACAGTTGCCATTCCTCTATGTGAAAACCAAATATACATTTTAGTGGGTATATCAAGATAATATTTTCTTTGAAGTAATTACATTATGGAAATGTTGGATTCTACTTTTTTCAATAACAGATCTTTCTTTCTTTAAATAGATAAAAACAACTGTCTTAAAAATACATACAAATTAAATGTTATTCTTAAAACCTTCTTTAACTCTTTCAGCATGGGCTCAGTCCCTGGGACTGACCTCGTAACCATTTTGTGCTTTTTACAGTTTTCATGCTATAGCTTTTAAATTAGTAAGCATATGTTCACAAAATTTTGCATATTATCAGTAAACATTACAAGGCTATCATATGCAAAATATCATATCTTTTTTTATTAAATCTTCTGGGTTGTTAAGCAATGTTTTTCTCATGTCTTTTTTCTTTTCACATGTTGCCTATCCAATATGCAAAGTAATTTTCATTTTAAGATTAAAAATACTTTCATGCATCAGAAAATTTTCATAATGTCAAGACAATTATCAAATGTTTCTTAAGAAAAAAAAGAAATATTATCTGTTATTTTCACTAACAAATCCCTGTATGGGTTCGGTAGATTTGACCAATCTCATAACCACCATAAAAATTAGGAAATAAATATAAATCATGCCTTTTTTGTTCTGAAATGACCACAGATTATGACATGAAAAAATAAATGTTTAGACTAAATAGCTTAAATCTCATAACATTATACATTTATTATTTTGACCTTTCAGCTGTGCCTGGCTAACAATACAGAAGTTTCAATGACACAGTGCACATGCACTCACGTTACTATATCCAATAATATAAAACTGATCCTTAGTCTGTACAAAGTGACCTGTCTTGGCTGTGTTTTAGTGGACTAGTATTTTGTAAAACACAGTCACATTTCAATTATTACACATTATATATGTACACACACACACACATTATTACTATTTTGAAATAAGTTCTTAAAATTAATTTTCTTAAAACATAGAACAGTAAATAAATAAGTAAAGCAAACAATTATCTCTTCTAGTTAAGACCTTTGTACTCAGTTGCTGCTTGACGTAGGTTGCTAAGCCTTTAAAAATTTCACATGTGGAGGATGTGAAACAAAATTATTTTTTTTAGGATTTGTATATTCATGTAAAATAATCAAAAAATAATAAATTACTATATCGATACCATAGAATTCCACTATCATTTATCAAGTTTAGTAATTAAACTGTATTTGGGTCTAAAAAATATGAAATTTCGAGTAGACTAAAGACTCACCTTACCAGCATGAAAATTGTATCAAAAGAATGTAATGATGTCGTAATACATACAAATGGCTGAGAAAGCCACTAGGGAAAGGGTTAGGTAGATAAGAACAACTGTCTTAAAAATGTATACAAATTAGATGTTATTCTCAAAGCATCCTTTAAGTAGATAAAAACAACTAAACTAATGTAAGACTTAGTCCACCCTTCATTCTGTTTGTAACCAGTAATCCTTGAGCCCATCCACCACTCTCCTGATAACCACTTTCCATTCAGCCCTTCCACCACTCTTATAATTACTGCTTTCCATTCAGCCCATCCTTCATTCTGCTGACTACCACCTTTTGTTCAGCCCATCCACCAATCTTCCGATTACCATCTTTCATTCAGCCCATCCACCACTCTTCTGATTACCATCTTTCATTCAGCCCATCCACTACTCTCCAAATTACCACTTTTCATTCAACCCATCCACCACTCTCCAAATTACCATCTTTCATTCAGCCCATCCACCACTCTCCAAATTACCATCTTTCATTCAGCCCATCTTCCACT